TGTGTTGGGAATGTCTGGGTGGTGGCGGAACAACAGCACCGGCCGGCCGGCAGCCCCTGTTGCGCCCGTGTCTTCACAGCCAGTCCTCGGGTTATTTGGAATCCATGAACACACTGACGTTTTCTGGGACCTCAGCACTTTGCTTAGCACTTCCTCCCCCAGACTCAATAAATCCTTCCTTCTCCTTCCTGGAACTCATCCCCGGGGAAGCTTCCCTCTCCAGCCTGATCTGCTTGTCCTTCATTAACAGTGAATCCCCTCCCTCACCCCCGCTCCCCTCCCGCTGTCATCCTTTCCTCCTTCACAGCCAAAACTCCCCTCTTCCCACCCTCTCAACCACTCTGCCTCCGCCAGACAGTGCTGCCAGGCTGCCTCTCCTGGCATGGCACCTGCGCCCATGCCTGGTCCATGCCTGTGCGGGCAGGGCTCTCAGTTCTCTGTCCCTAGGCTATTTCACATGCAGACGTGGGTGGCTTTAATCACACCCCACAAGGAAGGCTCTCAAATCTTGCCTCCCCCTCCAAAACACGTAACATATTATGTGTTCAACGCATATTAAAGAAATGCAACTCTACTCCCTTGACTCCTGCTGCTCAGGTCAGACTGGGAAACCCATCTGCCAGCCCCAGGGGCCTGAGCGGCCCCAGCAAGTGCTCCTCCCCTTAGCAGAGCAGACTCAACAGGATGGTCTACCCCGCAAGCACTGAAGTCACCGTCTACTGCATCTTAGCAGAAAACACAAATATGACAGTATTGGATCTAGTAACACAGACTTTTTTTTTTTAAGGTTTGTAAGCAGCTTTCTTTTTATTTATTTTTTTAAAAATACGTTTTGAGTTTAGAGAGACAGGAAAGGGAGAGAAACATTGATGAGAGAGAAACATCGATAGACTGCCTCCTACACGCTCCCCCCTCTGGGGATCGAGCCTGCAACCCAGCATGTGCCCCAGCTGGGAATCCAACGGTAACCTCCTGGTTCCTGGGTGGACGCTCGACCACTGAACCACACCTGCCGGGCCACACCGACTTTTTAAGAGAACGTTACCACAGCCATAGCCACGAGATGGCAGTCCCCAGGGAGGCTTCCCAGCTGTCCATGAGCTCAAGCTCGGTGTCCTGGGAGGACTGGAGTGGCCCGGCCTCAGGAGGGAGGCGGAGGCAGCCTGGGTGGGAGGCCCACTCACACACCTGCTCCTTCCCGAAGAATCCAAACCTGCTTTTCCACTGGGCATTAGCAACCACCAAGCCCAAGCGCTAATGACATGGGGAAGAAGGCTGGAGGCCTACGCACCCCCCCCCCCCCCCCCCCCCGCATGCTAGGGTCAGGCTTACCGTAACCCTGGAGCTCTGAGTGCCCGAGGTCGGCAGCTTGCTGCACCTTGCTCTGAGCCCCACTGGGGTCTGCAGCAAATGCAATGACACGCGGTGACAAGAGCCCTGGCACCTGAGAAATGGAAATCCGCAGGAGCGCCAGTGGCCCGGGACCAGCGAGCGGCAGCGGGTCATTGGGAAGGACACCTGAGACTGAAGATGGGCATGCCACCGGGAGCCCTTTCACCCTGGGGACCCGTCAGGGTGGGTATTTCAGTCAGGGTCAGGGCTTCCATTCTGGTCTGCACCACTACCCTCACCGCCTCAGAGAGAGCTGGCAGCTCGACCTGAAGCTGGACTGGCCAAGGCACCAGGCATCCCCGCCGACTTCCAGGTGCTAGAGAAAGATCTGGATTAGCAGCCTGCCCAGGGTCACCCAGACGTTGCAGAGCTGGGCAAACTCGGGTTTCCCGACTCCTAAGCCAGTCGTTATTTCCTCTTTCAACCAGGTTTTGCTGATCTGGGAGGACGGACTCACACCAGCTCTGTCCAATCCAGTGAGACAACACCCAACTAATAGGAACCATTGAAAACTGGGTTGCAAAAGCCTTCATGGGCCCGAGGGCTAAGAGGGTATGTCCTTTAAAGCCTCCCCATAGAGAGAACAAGTGCTCCTCCCCCTTTACTCTTTACACACACACACACACACACACACACACACACACGCGCACATGCACACGCACACGCACACACACACTAGACCAGGGGTGGGCAAACTTTTTGACTCGAGGGCCACAATGGGTTCTTAAACTGGACCGGAGGGCCGGAACAAAAGCATGGATGGAGTGTTTGTGCGAACTAATATAAACTCAAAGTAAACATCATTACATAAAAGGGTACGGTCTTTTTTTTTTTTTTTTTTTAGTTTTATTCATTTCAAACGGGCCGGATCCGGCCCGCGGGCCGTAGTTTGCCCATGGCTGCACTAGAGGCCCTCAGCCTGGCCTGCGCCCTCTCACAATCCTGGACCCCTGGGGGGATGTCGGACTGCTGGTTTCAACCCGATCCCCACAGGCCAGCTGACATCCCCCAAGGGATGTAGTAGTACCTAAATCGGCAGGCAGCCAGGGAGGAGTCCGAGCCCAGCCTGGCGCTGCTCCCGCTCCTCCTGGCCCTGCTGCCCCTGCCACTGCTTGGTAGTGAGCCTGGCATCTGGTGCCCGTTGGTCAGCTGAGCAGCACTCCCACTGTGGGAGTGCACTGACCACCAGGGGGCAGCTCCTGAATTAAGTATCTTCCCCCTGGTGGTCAGTGTGTGTCATAGCGGCCAGTGGGTTGATCCCTTAGGCTTTTATATATATAACTAGAGGCCCGGTGCACAAAAATTTGTGCACTCGGGGTGGGGGTGGGTCCCTCATCCCGGCCTGTGTTCTCTCGCAGTCTGGGACCCCTCGGAGGATGTCCACCTGCTGGCTTAGGCCCGCTCCCTGGGGGATAGCGCCTACGCTGGCACTCAGACATCCCTCTGGGTCAATTTGCATATTACCCTTTTATTATATAGGATTGATTTCAGAGAGGAGAGGGAAGATAGAAAAATTGATGAGAGAGCATCACTGATAGGCTGCCTCCTGCACACCTCCCACTGGGGATCCAGCCTACAACCCAAGAATGTGCCCTGACTGGGAATCTAACCGTGACCTCTTGGTTCATAGGTCAATGCTCAAACACTGAGCCAGCCTGGCCCCTGCTTTTCTTTTAAATTGAGTGGCCAAAAGGTCTTCACCAGAAGCAAAGGAGATCAGGGCTCTGAGAACTCAACACTCGGAGACTGAAAAGGCTTTAGGAACGCTGAATTAACAACTTCTATTTGAGATGAAATCCTCGTGGGAGAAAAGCACCTGGATCTTCCCTTCTCGGATGCAGCGAACACCGGCCAAATTGTTTTAATTTCCGAATTTATTAAAATGATTAACCTCAATACTGCAAGTGCATGTACAAAATATTTGTAAAAAATGTTTTTAATGAAACGTTAAAGAACTTACCTCAAATGCTGAAAAAGTCCTTTTTTCATTCTTTCAGTACAAGGAATACATTGTATCTCAAAAGTATTACAACTCAGCAAAACAATTTAAAACAGTAGTTTGAAAAATGATTGAAAATTGAATACATATATTTCTATGATCATTTCCTAATTCTTACAATGCAAAAGTCTTTACCAGTCATTGCATAAGCTCAAGCTAAGAGTTTTACTGAATGAAAGTTTTATTGACCTCTTCCAAGTGGTCACCAGAGTGTGGGTTTCACCATCCCACACAGCAGAGCCAGGACAACATAACAACGGAAAATCAGCTCCTTGGAAAGCGTCAGCAGTGATGGCCAGGCTGGGGTGCACAGACTCCTGAGACAGTGACGGCTACCAGGTGTCACTGCTCAGACCCTGGGAAGGCCAGCCTCAAAGGACCAGGCTGCCATACAGTTAAAACTAACATCATAAATAAGTTACTGAAAAGAAGCTTAAAAATGAAGAAAAGTGGGCAATATGACATTTTATTACTTTTCCCTTAAGGTTGACATTCCTGTAATGGCTATTGTTGATATTCCAAGAAATAGTTCAAGATGTGTTCTATGACTGTCTACAAAACACGCCAATCGGAGGTGGGGATGAGGCGACCTTCTGTCTGCTGGGCTTTCCACACGGGGTCTGGGCCGGACCTACCCTTGTGGCGCGAGTCCCGCGTCTACACAGGGACACCGTGAGGGTCGGACTGGGCTGTCAAGTGCTCTGAGGGCCTTGGGACAGGCCCCAGGGGCCGCCCTGCTGGCACAGGAGGCACGCTGGCTGAGCGAAGCGGCCGTGTGCCACATGCGCCACATCGCTACCTGGGGGCTGAACTGCACCGTCACACACAGGGGGCGACAGGAGACTACAGAAGTAATGCCTTGGGAAGGAAGTAAGGAAAAAACACCGCTACATTTAAAAAACTTTTATGGATATTATTAATTTCTACTTGGATCCTACTGGCAATAGTGTTAAGGAACTGAATTTCCCAGAATCTGGGAACTGGGGGAATCAATTAGGAATGACAGTGAGCACAGAGGTTTTTTTCTCCAAGGGATCCCATTACCTGCAGATTCCTTCAACATTTAAAACTGGGGCTCCCTTTCCAGACACTATGGATCCCTGGACTTGGTACATAGGAGCAGTGTGTCGGAGAGTATACGCACACGCTTCCCGGGAACAGAGGCCCGCTGGCTCAGCGCCTGCTGCAGATTCACATTCCCCAATTCTCTGTCCAATGATTTGTAAAACAATCCAGAAAAAGCAAAGATGGGTACTGAACATAAAGTAGTAAAATTTCGTTCATTAACTTACTTAAAATTAATTTATCTTTTCAAAGTGCTTCAAAAACAAATTAAATCTGACTCTTCTTTTTGTCTAACTGATAATATAGTCAAAAACTCTTTGACATTTTCATACATAAACTAACATAAGTCAAGAACTCCCACTGATGCAGTGCTTAAAACTATGTATTTATAATTTCCTATTTTATTGGCATGGATATTTCTAAACTTAAAAACCTTCCTGGTAAGTTCTTTTAATTTCTTATGACAAAAATTTCTCACAACACACAAATATTTACAACATATACATTGTTTTCAGTTCTTTACATTGAATTTCAAAGACAAACATTTTTATAGGTTACCACAGAACAAAAGCTGTGACTCATGTTTTTATTTCATAAACTATTATAAGTTAAAGTGAATAGAGTTTTTTAATATTCCTTGTAGCATTTTACAAGTGCAACAGAAAACTTGAAGACCCAAATTAAGATAGCTGTAGTTCATTAAATGTTGCTTGTTGTCATCACATTGTTCACAGCAAATTTTTGAAAAAATAAGCACCAATCATTCTTGCAAAGAACAATTTTATCTAAAAGTATTGAAAAGTGTTAAATACAAGGTCTTTAATTTACATGACAAGCAATAAATACGCTGTATCGAAACTCATCCTGCACACTGCTACCCTCGTACATATAATGTACTGAAAAGTTGGCTGTCACGCATGGGATTGTACTTTAAAAAAAAAAAAAATAAACCAATTTGACTCCCAACTGATGGTCTGCTATTTAACCAAGGCCACACACAGTACACCTGGCCAGCAAACAGTGTGGAACTGATCAAACTCCAAGGGGGGGACATCTAGCAAATAAAACAAAAAGCCAAAGATCATTGCTGGTGATATTAGCATGGACTAGAAAACCTTAATATGCTGCTACTAGGATTGGTTTAAGTTATTATTTAGTCACATATTAAAGAGCCAGTTGATGCTCTTACAAGTTAAAAAAATTGTGTAGCCACATTATTGTTTTCAACGTCGTGTGGAAAGTTGCTATCACTGTAGTTTGCTGAGCCTTTACTTTACAACAGGGCTCTCCCTCTAACTCGGAATTGCACGTAAGGAGGCTATTCAAAAAGTACAATAAAAATGTGCACAAATCAGACTTCAGGTAAGTCAGTACGCTGTACACTTTCTACGTGTTATGCCGATAAGTGAAGAAATGAGAGAAGTGCTGCCGCTAAAATGTTTCAGTTGAGGAATAATACACTGGAATTTTTTATTTGTAAGTAGTTTATCCCAGGTCAAATTGAGACCCAGAGCTTATGCGTTAAGCCTCAAAGACTGATCTTCTCTTCTCCTGGAAGAAATGTCAATATCTATTGAGTCTTTCCCAACTATTAGCCTCAGTCGCTTGGCTGGAGGGAGGGGAATAAAGTCATCTTCAAAGTCATCGTCGTAATCATCCTCCTCTTCGTCCCCCTCAGAGGAGGAGGAGTCATCTGTACTGTCTTCCTCGTACTGACTGTAGTCATCGACGTCCATCTGCGACTCCAGGAGAGAAAGCGGGTCACCGCAGCACACCCCGTTCTCGTGACGCCCCTCTACACAGGACCCCCGACCCTCCTCGTCCCGTTTGAGCTGGATTTTTAATTTTGTGGCGCTGCTGCCCGGTCCTGAGTTAAATCCGTTATTAAGCTTTGCTACGTAGAGATTATTATCATTTTCATGGTCTTTACTTAACTTGATGCTTATTTTGGAAGAATTCATCCCATCATTCTCTGGATTGTTTGTCTTGCTGCTGCTATCGTGACGCCTGCGAAGAGTCAATTTGGGGATCCCAGAGTTATTCTCCAGGATTAACTGTGCGTCATACCTTGTGATTCGCCTCTTCTTTTTACTCTTTGCAGTCCTGAAGCCGTCTTTTGTTTTGAAGCTATCTGATGTCACCACCGAACCATCAACAGGCGAAGGGGCCCAATCCATGTAGCTCCCGGGCAGCCCCTCCGAGCCGCTGTGCTCACCCTGATCGGGGAGGGACCCCAGCACGCTGGCTACCACACCGGCTTTCCCAGGGGGACTGTGCTCCGGAGTGGACTCCCCCGCCTTTGCCAACTGTCTCACAAGTTTCCCTTGCCGTGACTTCTTTTTTGCAATGCCGCTGTCACTCCTAGGACACTTCGCCTCCCCGTTGTGTGCAGTGTCATGCACCAGTTCTTCCTGCGTCGCAGGAGGTGGTTGCTCGCCACTCTCTGGGCAAGGCTCAGGCAGGCTGCTTTCATAGTCGTCCGACGTATTTGGTTCAAGCTTGATGTCAGAGGGCTCCTTCAAAATCATTCTCGTCCGTGCAGATCGCCTGGTTGTGTAGGTGCTGGGGGTGCCCTCCCCCGGCGAAGGGGCCCCTCGCCCCGAATTCTGTTTGTGCTCTCTTGCCGCATGTCTGGTTAAGCACCCACTGGCCACTGTGGCTGGTATTGGTCCCTCTGGCTCCTGATCTTTTTTAATGGGCAAATTTTTATATAGAACTACTTTAGGCTCTTTAAGGACTAAGTTTCCCATCTCGAGGTTTCGTGAAGCGCTCTTCTGCTCCGGCCGTTTGCAATGATTTCTTAATTTCACCTTCGAAAGTAAAGGCCGTGCAGGCTGCTTCAGTTTCTTTGGTACCCTGGAGTTCTGAGTGTGGGTTAGCCTGGATGAGGTAGAACTGGAAGGGGCTGGAGTTCTTGGCACAGATGGCCTTGTTAACGCTCTGCTCTTGCTGGTCTTTTTCACACCAACGGAAGCTTTTCGGCTAGAAGCTGCAAAGTTAAAAAAAAGAAAAGAGAAAAGATGAAAAAGAGCCTGGATAACACAAAACAGTATCCAAAACCAGACTCTCGGCCATGTGGCGTTCACTTACACAGGCACATGGCGGACAGACCAGTCAGGTTTCTGCCTGCACGTAAGCTCCCGCGCTTTCCTTCAGTCTCTTTCTAATTTCAGCCTCTGATTCATGGAGCATCTATTCACATTTGAACTGGGTGTTTGAAGAGTTCCTGCTACCAAGTACCTAGATTTCACTCTATGCTTGTCCTTAATCTATCATGATACTGGTCCACAATAGGTATTTCTTTTCCTGATTTAGTATTTTACCAAGTAAAAGGTTTAAAGTGGACCTAAGAAAAAAAATCATAGTTTTATTTTCTTTCACAAATTCTTAAAATCATCATTTTACTTTATTTTATTTTTAAATATATTTTATTGACTTCTTACAGAGAGGAAGGGAGAGGGATAGAGAGTTAGAAACATCGATGAGAGAGAAACATCCATCAGCTGCCTCCTGCACATCTCCTACTGGGGATGTGCCCGCAACCTAGGTACATGCCCTTGACCGGAATCGAACCTGGGACCCTTCAGTCCACAGGCCGACGCTCTATCCACTGAGCCAAACCGGTTAGGGCAAAATCATCATTTTAAATAGGTTTCTAAAATCCAAACTACTCATTAACTCAGGAAATATACTGCAAGTGGGCTCAGAGACAAATTCTATTCCAATGGTTTCAACAAGAGATCCGAGGAACCACGTTGTATCCCCGACAACCGCCCCGAAGAACTGCCTATCTAAAACCTCTCCCTGAGGCGCAGGGAGATCAGCAGAGCTCACCTGGGCCGTCCCTCCCATCCTGCTCGCTGCCCACAGTCACACTGAGAGGGAAGGAGCATGCTGCCAGAATTACTCTCAGACAAGGGGGCTCCAACTTCCTTCCTCTGGACAAGGACACAGAAAGGCTGGGATGATCCTACTGGGAACTAAGGTGACAACTGAAGGGCTTTACAAAAGGCTTATATGTGACTCAAGTTTAAGCTGCGCCTCGAGAACCTCTGACCTTGCCACTGACCAGCTGCCATCTCTGTTTTCCTTTGCATTTACCTTTGGACCTACACAGTGTCTTACATGAGTCAACTTCTCAGCTTCCCACACTCCCCACCTGAAAACCTCATCCCCATCAAAATGCCTCTTTTAAATTATTCACAGAGAAGCTGAGAATACCAAACAATCACCATCTCTCATCTGAAAACAAGGAAATAGAAAACAAGGAATGTGGGTAAGCCCAGCACACTGCCGACAAAGATGGTCCCTTACTACATGCCCAAAGGTTGCCAGGGCAACTGCTGTTCCTTCTGCTTGGTTGAGCAAGTAAGTCACCATTAGTTAGTTTTTATGGAGAACAAGAATGAGTAACAAGCATTCCAAGCGTCACACCACCAAGAATGGAGCTCTGTACTCAAGCCTGGCTCCTAAATGGAGTGAGGTGCCCAAACCAGCAAAACTCCCAGAAATGAGGCCCACTATTTCTTGAAGAACAGTAGTAATTTTGGGGAATGTGTATATGAACTGGAATTACACAGAACTTGCTAGAAATAATTTTTAAAATATGAGGATATTTGGGGAATTCTTTGGCTAAAGAATTTCTGCTTTTAAGGCTTCCTTTAAGGTGGAACTGGTAGAGGTACTTATTTACTTATTTTTTAGAATGTATTTTTATTGATTTCAGAGAGGAAGGCAGAGGGAGAGAGAAAAAATATCAATGATGAGAGAGAATCATCAATCAGCTGTTTCCTGCATGCTGGGGATTGAGCCCTCAAACCAGGCATGTGCCCTGACTGAGAATTAAACCATGACCTCCTGGTTCATAGGTCAATGCTCAACCACTGAGCCACACCAGCCAGGCTTGATGTGCTTACTGATGTAAGTCAACACCAGTGTTCTGTGCTCAGCTTCCTCAGAGTTGGCTATGTGGTCCTCTGCCCAGCTTGACTCTTCAAGGACCATCCTATGACCAAGCTTAGTGGTCCTCAGCCTATTGTTCCCTTTTCCTCATTTTGCACCTGCAATCAGCTGTACCTAGAATCACGGATACGTTGCATTCTCCACAGCGATCCCCCTGAAATCGGGATCCAGCCTGTCCCTCGCATGAGAGCCTTGGCCAATCTCTGACCACCTCCAGGTCGTGAAACCCAGTGAGCACTTCCCGTCCTTACCTTCCTTTGCAGAATGTGATATTGCTGACCATCCCTTTTCCTGGAAAACCCTCTCCCGTCCGCTGTCCTAGGCCCTTGAAAAAACAGTCTCCTGATGATAAGCACCCACACCCTTCCTGAGCCACTTTCTCTCACCTGATTCTCTCCCGAATCACAGGCCCTACCACCAAATACCCGCTGGCATCCGGATCTCCCGAGGCTGCCTTGGAGCCCCTTGGTGAACATGCTTAAACTGAACTCGCCTTTAAGTCTCATGGCTGCTTCTCCGCCTCAGTGCTCTTGGCCAATCACCCCAGAAACTGGGAGGTCATTCCTGACGTTTGCTTTCCCTGCCTCACCCAATCGGCCTCCAGGTCCTGTGGAGTCCATTCCTGCCAGGTCACTGGAGTGTCTACCTCTCTCCATTGTCAATGCCACAACCTCCTGCCTGAATGAGGGCCAACAGCTTCCACCATTTTTTTTGTCTCTCCTACTGCTTTCCCAACACCCCATCCTCCATCATGTAGACAAAATTATCTTCCTAGTACCCATATCGCTTCTGGGATTTAAACCTTTCAATAACCTAATGCTCTAAGAACCAAATCTAAAATGTTAAGTTATGCTCACATCCTTTCTTCCTATCTTCAATTCCACCCATGATAAACTTCACTTATTCAAGTCCTACACTCATCCCCTTATGATATTTTTAAAATAAAAGTCCCAAGTGCTTCACTTGGCCAACTTCTCAACCTCTTTAAAGTTCAGCGTAGGAAACACTTTTCCAGGGAGCCTGCCCAGACTTTCTACATAGGACAGGGTACTCTTGTTACGTGTCTCGTGACACCAGAGCTCCCTTACTTGGACACTTATTTTAAGCCATTAGACGAATCTCATTTTATGGTGATTCTGGAGCGTGCCTCTCCTCTTCCACCCCTCCTTCCCACGGAATCACTGTTAGCTGACCACAGCGAACCACTCACAAAGCACTTGGGTGTTTGTTCTCAACAGCTCAGAATAGACGACTTGATGCTACAACTTGTTTCCCTTATGTTTATGTATTTATAGTGTATTCTCATTTTGTCTCAAAAGGCATGATCTCATCAAAAGTCCAGCTAAAGAGTGTGCTTACCAAGTCAAAGTTCAAAAAGGACATAGCAAGCTGGGCAGAAGTGTGAGCAAAGTGGCTAAGACCGAAGGGTAGCAAGTGCCAAAGGGTCACACTATCCTTGGGCGCTGTGAGAACATCAGCACCAGGAGGGTGAGGGAGGAAGACAGTGGCCCCAGTGGCAAACTAATAAAAGTCCATCAGAGACTGAGGATGCTGACGTAGGAGAGAAGGTGTGCCTGTGGTGGCCCCGGCACCAGCACTCACACCAGGCGTGACTCTCCCCTAGTGGCTAGGACAAACCTCAAATGCATAACCTAACAGTAACTTTAGGTGAAAACACACATTCTTAACAATTATTATATAGCAGGTGCTGGGCAAATGGCCGCCTTAGTATGATCTCAATGCTAGTAAGCATTTTTTGGAGTAAGAGCTGTCACACTGCATGAAACCAAGCTCATGTGGACTAATGTGCCTCAGATCGTCCATCTGCTGAGTGGCAGGGATGGGATTTGAACTGAGGAATATGGTTTAAGATCCCAACTGGTTCAGCACTGCCTCTAAGGTAAGCCAGTCCCAGCTCATGGGTAAAGAAGCCACGCACAGCCCTCAGAGTCATTTCAGGGTGTCCTCAAAATCATAAGGCAGCCCTGCCTGGGCATCAAGAATCGCAGGCAGATACAAGAGCAGCACAAGGACCCCAAAGCTCCCCGAGTGCCAGGGCTGTGTCCTCGCTCTGTGCTGGAGAAACCCCAGGAGCACAGTTAACACGAACCGAGGTGACACGAAGACCACACACAGCCGACACCTTCAGAACTTGAGGAGCCAGCATCCTCCATCTTACGTGACCAACACAGACTGGCAGCGACTGCCTGGATCGGGCCTGCGGGCTCGGCAGAAAGGAGTGCTGTCTGTGACAGGAGAGAGAGAAGCAGTGACACATCTCCTACCTCCAGGATAGGCGATCCTTAGTTAAGATAAGCTTACTCCACTGGCCAAGTCTTCTGGGTTCTGCACCGACCTGAGGCATTTGCAATGACACACATTCCATATCACAGTGATTATGGGGCATAGCCCAGCCATTCAGGCACAAAAACCAGAATCTTCCAATAGTGGCACAATTCAGGCATGCGAACTGAATCTGTGAAAAGGATTTCTCGCCTGGTTGGTGTGGGTCAGTGGTTGTGTTGAACCATGAATCGAGAGGTCACAATTTGATTCTCAGTCAGGGCACATGCCCAGGTCGTGGGCTCGATCCCCAGTAGAGAACATGCAGGAGGCAACTGATCAATGATTCTCTTCCATCATTGATGTTTCTAGTTATCTCCCTCTGAAATCATTAAAAACATATTTAAAAAAATACTTAGAAAAAAAAAGCATTTGTTTCCGCTCTGTGGATGCGAAAGCAAACAGGTTGTGGCTCCCAAGACACCTTTCAAAAAAGGGTCTGGCCCTGGTAGATGGCTCATTTGGTTGGAGCATCACCCCACATACCAAAAGGTTGTGGGTTTGATTCTGATCAGGGCACATACCTGATTCAGGTTTCAGGTTCAATCCCATGTCAGGGCGTGCATGGGAGGCTACTGATTGATGTTTCTCCCTCATCTCAATGTTTCTCTCTCCTCCCTCCCTTCCTCTCTCTGTAAAGTCAATGAAAATTAAACATATCCTCAGATGAGGATTAAAAAACTTTTAAAAAAGGATCTGTGTGGAAGAAAGAAGTAATTTTTCTTCCCACTAGGCAGAAATGTTTAAGAAGAATATACACACTGCTCAGGGAAAGCAGCTCCTCCATCAGCCACTAAATCCCAAACAAGCTGCAGAATCAAAGTGGGCAGCTATGCATGGAGAGTGCACTCTGACCCAATGGATACCACCGCCCTCAGGAGAAAGCTCAGGCACTCTGGCTTTGCTACCAGCTGTGTTCTTAACAAGTCTTCCTCTCACACGGCTAAGAGGCTGTGTTTAAGACACGAGAACCAAAAGAAACACAGCCTAAAAGAATGCATGGAAGAGTTCGGGAAAATACTGCGTGAACACGGCGGAGTGTATGCTGGCCGAGGAGGTGACTGGAGTAAGCCTGTAACTCCTTTAGAGCACAGAGCACGCCCACCACACGACCCTCAGTTAGCACATTCACTCTGTACCAGTCAGTCAGTCAGTCATTCTGCAGAAAGCAGCTGAATGAAGTCAGCGCCCCCACATCCACAGCCACCGGGAAGTGAGCACCTGTTCTGTAATGCTGAGATTACAGCTCAGAGGGATTACTGTTGCCTGTACACTTAGGAAAGTGGCTCTGCGCTGTTACTTGTGCACCTGTCCTGTCTTGGAACTAGGCATAAGCTCCCCGAGGGCTGAGTCTCCTACATATATGTATCTCTTCAACTACTACCAGGCTTTTAGTAAGTATTTGGTTTATTAATAAATATTCCCTGATGGTCACTTAGTAATATACTCAAAACCTTCCAAAAATATTTGTATTCCAATCTTTTAAACTAAGTGTTGTACTGAGTTCAGAATCTATGCATTAGAAATACAGTTAATGAATAAAAACACAAAGCACCCCCACGAATGTCAAGAGCCAGTCAATGTGGACAGCACGGTGGCTGTCTCCACATATAGGTCTCACAAGTCTCCCGTCTCACAAGGAACCAGACTCAGAAAACAAATAGTGATTGTGCTGTATTTATTATTAGAACCAATAGTCCACAGTGAGTGACAGACTAACTGCTCTTTTGTTCACGTTGGACATTTTTATAAACCGGACGATACACAGGATAACTTTTACACTAAAGAGGTCACGTGTGGCCTCCGACTCCCAGCAGCGGTAGATTTGGGAATTCATGGCATTGAGCTTTGCCACTGTGGGATTCTTCTCTTTTCTTTGGGATTTTCTGTACAGGAGGGGAGCACCAGTGCTGGTGTGAAAACAGGGAAAAGAGCCTGAAATAACCAGACCTCAGAGGGCATCAGGCACTAGAAGCATCTGTGAACATTCAGTGCCGAAACTGGCATACTTAGGGGATCACCAAGCCAAAACATGCGAACTCAATGCCTGTCAGATCAGTCGGACTGAGGAGCCTACGATTTGAGTGGAGCGGAGGAAACGGGCATCACCGAGGTGAACTGCAGCCGCAACCAGAATAGTCCCAGGACCTCAAAGCTCCATCAAGATGATGTGTTTTCTTCTGTTCGTTTCGGCTTTCTTCTCTTCCTTTTCTCTTTATTCTTCGTTCCCTCTTTTTCCAGTTCCATTAGGTCTTGCGCCCCCTCCCTGGCCTGGTCTCTTGACGCTTGCTTCTTTCTCCTTTCATCTTGCTACTTCTGTTAGTGGCTAGTACGTCAGAGCACAGTGACATCTAAAATGTTCCTTTATCACAATTACGAGTCGGTAACTGGTAACTTAGGAAACTGGGTAAGTAGTAAAAAGGTGGAAACCTTGAAGCCAGAAGCTATCACCTCCCCCAGTCCATCCTCCGCCCTAACAGGCTGGCTAGGCACAGAAGCACGTATGTGCCTGTCAGATTCCACCCCGTCCTGTCTTCTCAGAAGACATAATGATATAATTATGGTGAAACTAACACCTGGAAAATGTTTCTTTCATACATATATGATGACCCTGGAACACAGGCTGAAGAATATCCAGTTACCAAGTATTCAAGGAAAGCAGACAGGTCAGTCTAGACAAGTGCACCGAGTCTGGAGGCCAACAAGCCTGCTTCCGTGGCAAATCATTTCTAGAATCCTGCGATGCTGCTGGAGTGCACGAGTCCCAGGGTTTCTCTCAATATTTAAAAGATCAAAACTACTGAAACACACTTTAGAAAACAAATTGTGTGAAAACACTTAAGAAAAGATGCTTATCAAATCTCCCTTACTTACTTGCATTGTGTTTTTCCTGAGTGGTATCTGCATCAGTGTTAGAGCTGACAGATTGACTGTCTGAATTTTTGCTGCTGTCACCTAACTTTTTAAGCCTATTTAAACGTTTATCTGTTTCTCTGAGTCCATATTTGCTATTGATAACAGGAGCAGGCGCAGGCAGTCCCACTCTGGATTTAAAAGCACCAGTTCCTCGTCTGAAAGAGAAAACAGCACACGTCAAACAAACAGCGTACTTACTAACCATAAGGTCGGCTGCCGAGGGCTCTGGGACGCATCAGATCTACGGATATGATGAACTGATGAGGCCTCAACCATCACTGGAAATTTACCAAGTCTAGGACTCTCAAAAGGAATTAAGTATGTATATAAAATCAACAAAAAACTCTAAACTTAAAATCACAAGACAAATTTTTATGATTATTGTCAATTATTAACTGCCCATGAGAAACCATTGAACCCTATAGAATTTCATGTGTAGATAACTAATTCTTCAATTTCAAAACTGGTTGGTGCAATAGTTAGGTCTAAATTGTAGCTTAAATAATGCACCTGTTAATTATATTCTAGCTTTGTTCTGCACAATTTAACACTACATCACTGAATATTGAGAATTAAGAAATGAAAAAACGAAACCAGAGAATTTCCATAAATGAGGCATTACTTAGATAGAACTGAATGTTAGATACAAATTCTACCTGAAATTCTGTCTAAGAAGGCTAGGCTGTATTAATGCAAGGCTCACTTTCTGAACTATAAAAACTATTAAATGACTCTTTAAAGTTAGTGAATTAAACATAAATAACCACAATTAAGCTATAAAAATGTTACTAAATAAGACACTAAAAACTTGCTTTTCCCCCAGGATAAGAACAATTTCTAACCTGCTCTAACTATCTGTATTGACGTAATTTTTCTGAAGTGAGCGTACTTACTAAGAGAGTTCTTAGACTTCCTAAAGGATGTAGTTTTGCAAAGCTTTGCTTTATTCAGCGTATAAAGGAAAATTCCTACTCAGCTCTATTCAAAAGAGTAAGTAAATTACATGTTAAGAGGTTTTTAAAAAGCACTCCTATTGCAATTAAGAAGTGAGAAGTCTCTCTGGCTAGATTGCCTTCACTGGTTGACCCTTCACTGGCCTTTGCTTATTAAGGAAAAGCCATATAACAATAGCTTCTGACCTGTGACAAAATCCTAACTGCCCTCCTCTGAAAGCGACCTGGCCCCACTGAGATCCCCTGGAACTGATCTTTCAGGGTTTCCTCCCCCAAGGAATCAGAGCGTTTCACTTTTTGCTAAAGGACAACAGTTTTATTTTCTCTCCCCACCCTCTTCTTACCTTTTCATGCTAGGGAGCACAGACCCAAACCTAATGCCGAATCTATTTTTGTTAAGTAATGTAAGTATTTTTGCTTTCTTCATCTTCACAGAATGGATATGGAATTCTCTTTTTATTAAGGTTTTTGTAAAAACAACAAAAAACTTATTGTGGGACTGCCTCAATTCTTTTTTTCAAAAGGTGCATTAGAAATCCTCACTGAGGCAGGCAACCAGTTACACTCCACCCACCCCAAAATATATTCAGAAAGTAAATCCATAAATCCCAAAGGCCATTTCATTTCCTATGGACAAAGAAAGTAATAAATTATTTTTAGATATTCCATGCCTTTTTACCATAACATGCAACATTTCTGGTTCATTTCTAGAAAGATGGGCCACATTTAAAGAAAGCTCTACTCTTCATCTGCTTCTCCACTACCCTCCCTTTTTAAACTTAGGAAAGTAATACATGCTTATGCTTGTTGCAACAAGCCAAACAATCCTAGGATATAAATATGCATAAAGCAGAAGTTGGTAGTATTTCCTAACCCCTGGAGCCCAGAGCCCCGAGGTCCAGTGCTAACCACCTGCCGGCACACCAGCTTCCACTCCTTTCCCACGGTCTACACACCTCCATACACTGTGGGAGCCCTCCAGGCAAACAAAACCAGCAGGGTAATGCCATATAGTCACTAAACAACCATGTACAAATACACTGGTACTGAACACATGTTACAAAAGTTGTACTTTTTACATAAACATCCCATAATTTATTCAATAACTCCCCATCAGTGATAGTAAAACCTATGGGCGATTTTGTTTTTGTTTGCCACCATGAATACAGCTGCTATACTTCTCTTGACACCAAATCCTTACTAATTGGTGCTCATATTTCCATAGGGTAAATTCTTCCATATGGGACTGACTGCCAGGTAAATGGATGCACTTATTTTTTGACACATATTGCCAGATTCCTTTCCCAAAAGATTACAGCAATTCACAGCCCTAGTAACACCTGCCTGTTTCTCTAAGTCCTCACCAGCAGTATACAGTGCACTCCTTAAATTTTGCCACTTGATAGTGAAAATGAATACCTAATTGTTTTAATTGCTTTGTTTGTAGCCATCATTTTCTGTGCAGCATCTTTCTTACCTTTCTTTTCTAGTGGAATTTATTTTTTCCTTACGAGCTTACTTTACTGGAGCTTTTTGTAATTACAATATTAATTATTTGCCATATGTGTACTTTTCCCCTCTTCAGTTTATCATCTGTCTTTGACTTACTTTACAGGAGCTTTTTGTAATTATAATAGTAATTCTTTGCTATATATATACTTCCCCCCCTTCAGTTTATTATCTGTCTTTGACTTACTTTCAGCCATTCAAGAATTTTTGTATTCACCATTTCTTGTCTTCTTTCAAAAGAATTTTACTTCCCCAGGTTAGACATATAATCTAAATTTTTAAAAATAGTTTTGCATTATATTTTAAAATTTACCTTTTTTTAAATTTACTCCTATATTCCCAGCATCCAGCTGGAATTGATTTTTACATAGTGTGAGATGGAGCTTAGCTTGGTTTTCCTCCAGACACACAATGAGTTACAGCTGACCCGTGAACAACGCGGGGATTGGGGCACCACCCTATCTTGCAGTTGAAAATCCACACAGAACTCCTTCAGCCCTCCACATACGCAGATTCCCAATCACGGATTGGAAATACTGCACCAACATCATACTCACCTCTCTTTCAGGACTCTCTTCATGCCCTCTTACCTACTTGTCCATTTCTGGGCCAATATCCATCAAGTTTTGATCACAATTATTTCATAGTAACTTTTAATATCTGTTAAGATAAATTTCCCCTAACTATACTTCACAAAATTTTTCTTAGCTATCAAACATACTTTCATATAAACTTTACAATAATTTTGTCCTTCATTAGATTTTATTCTTCAAATTTTCTAGAGTGAAATTTGTAGTACTTATTAGAAACATACTACAATCACTATTGTGTCAGGATGGTTACAGCCCAGACACATGCATCCAGTGCACCCAGGACACTCCACTTGTGACCTCAGCATCTTGTTAAACATTCTGTCCACTCTCAACTCTTCACTGGGCCACCTCTTCTCACCCTCAGCCTGGCACTGTGCTAGTCTTGTTTACCTTGCACTTGTAGGCCTAATATAAAGTACCTTGTCAGTTAACGAATGAGTTCCTCTGACTAGTGTCATCCTCTCATCTAACTGGTGTTCCTGAGAATTTAAAGAATATTCATAGCCACCCTTTCAGTCAAACTGCTCAAGGAGTCTGATTTGGCCATGTCGACTGTTCTGTATATTAGGCCTTCCCACTTCGGAAGGACTTGCATGTTTCTATTGTTCACACTAAGCCTGGAGAGGGGGTGGGATTACCACTATCTGACCAGTGAGAAACGGAGGCTCAATAAAGAGAACTATCTGCCTGAGGAATGTGACAACGCGTGCAGTTCTGAACCAGTAAAAGAGCTGCTTCAGGGCTGGTTTGGAATCCTGAGCATGTGGTTACATTTTCAGGACAACCTCCAAAACCTTACTGGCATGTCCTTTGCTTCATTTGATCATTCACTCAGCAAATATTTTTCAAGTGCTTATTATGTGCCAGGTACTGTTCTGGATGCTGGGAATATAGGAGTAAATAAAAAAGGTGAAAACTTCTGCCTTCTTGGGGCATCTTTTCTAGTGGGAAAATAACCTATACGTAAGTGTTAACTGTGTACAGTTCTACATACTTTATGTGAAGGAACTAATTTAATCCTCACAGCAACCCTTTGAAATAACTTCTGGTATTATTCCCATTTTACAGATGGGTAATTAAGGTACAAGAGCACCTAAGTTGCCCAAGAAATCATAGCTAATGAATTGCAGAGTCACAGGATTCCAACTCAGGCAGTCTGACACAGATCTCAGGCACTTACTTAACTGCTACGCTATGTCATCTCTATGAAATGATTTTAAAGCATTATTCAACTATAGGTAAACTACTTCATGGATTAAAGGGTCTTTCTGTAGACTGGTCTAAGATTCAACCAATGCTTACACCATTTTTTTATACAGAAAAAGATACATTTTATACTCCCACCCCCAACACAGGGGAAATGTCTGGCTACCAAGGAAGAAGAAAATTGGGCCTCTAGTCTGGCTGCAGGCTGGGTGTTCTCAGTGGGAGAAGTAGCACCATCAGATTATCTTTGCTCATATTTGCAAACACAACATGATGTGGAAACTGTGAGGGCTCTGAAGCAAGGCTGGTCTGGATTCAGTACTTAAGCTCTGCATTTGCAACAGGGCCACACTACTACTACTCTCTCACAGGATGGCTGTGAGGACTGAATGAGTCAAGATCAGTAGTGTCCAGGGCAGTGCAAGGTACGTGAAATGGGCTCAACAAACATAACGAAACCTTCCTGCAGCACCACCCAGATAAGTGTGGGGAGCTGCCCCTGTGAGCTCCTGCATGCAGAAGCCACTCCAATGAGTGTTGTGAGCATCACTGCTGCCAAGGGAGATCTGGGGCATCCACAGGACTCCCAAACCTTGATGGACCACACAAAGTGACAGAACTTAGGATTATGAAAGTATGTGCATAAAAAAAATCCAGAGGACACAGCTTGATAATACACAAAACTATGTCAGGGTTTTTACATGACTGTCAGCAGCTGAACTTCACTTGCCATTTTCAGGGCAACCCCACCCTGGATGTGGCTGTGGCTGTGGGTGTGTGTGTGTGTGTGTGTGTGTGTGTGTGTGTGTGTGTAAGGTGTTTCCCATTCTCTACCTAAGCACATTTGAACTCTGATCCATTCATAAGAATAGCTGGTAATAATATTTTTAAGGGTCAGGTGCCAATGCCCTTGAAAGTTAAGGACGCTTTGATTTTGTTTATGCATGCTACTGGCTGCAATGCTCTAGAATGTAAAAGACTATTCCTGCATTTAAATAATGAGGAGATAATGTGATTTCATGCCCATGATCATAAGGTGGTTAAAAGAATGGAAAAGCTGAACATCTTACTTAATACTTTACCTTTCACATGTGTAACACTCGCAGAACTCATTATTTTCTCCAAAAAACCCATCTCCATAATAACAAGAAATTTCTTCTCCAGGTTCAATATCTCTCAGAGCCTTCACACATGCTGTATCTCGACCAGTTGACACAAACTGAAATAAAATGAACTTATTAAGAAACTCGTACCTAAAGCAAAAACTAAATACTTGAGATAAAAAGTTTTTATGCTTACCTTACAGTTAGGTCTGCAATCTGAAAAATGTCCAAAAATAAAGTCAATTAACTGTTGATAAGATCTGAAACACGAACAATTACAGAAATCTGAAATAAGCTTTCCATGTAATTTTACAACCTTTGATAGAAATGTATGTCTTCAGTTAAACTACAGGAATATTTACTTTAATAACTTGGGGCGGGGGAGGGGGGGAGAAATCATATTCTTAACCCTACTTTAAAGGAAGATAAGGTCTTACTCAGATTGCCATGCCATTTTAATTTTGAGCAGTACCACCAAACATTAGTGCTGATACCTGAGAAATTGCGCTTACCATGGTTTATAAATGCGGCAGGGCCGAGCCAGAGCTGAGCACAGTTTTTCCTTGTGGAATACATGACACTGAAGTCGTTCTCTCCGTGTCTAAGTAGCATGTTCTCCTCAATTTCTGAAAGTTCGGCAATACAACCCACCAGTAATTCTATTTTGTCATTTCGTTTCCTATTTAAAATATGTGATGTTAAAAATTACTAGTAATTATAAATACGGTGGCTTCTTTTATTAAAACAAGCCTGTCCAATAAATATCCAAGTATTGAGAAGACCCAGCTCTGCATATTTTAGCTGACTCGCTTGGATCCCCACCAGGAAGCCCCAGAACCTTTGCCATGGTTACTTGTGCAGCTGCCCTATTCCTACCAGAGGCTGGAGAGTCCTCCAGGACAGAACTGTGTACCTATCCATGTTTCTGAACACTCTGCAGCCCCTAGCATAGTGCTTTGCAAGTAGAAAGGACTCAAATCCCTGCTGCACGGAATTCAACTTGCTGACATTGGATGAAGGAGACATAGATGAGTGTGGGAATGAGCTATGAGGACCCAGAATTGGGATGCTATCCGCTAGAGCAGCGTCATCCCACAGACAGCAATGCAAGCCAAGCACAGAATCTTCAATTTTCTAACAGCCACTTTAAGAAAGTAGAAACCTGTGAAATTACTTTTAGCAATGTATTTTAATCCAATATACCCCAAATACTATTTCAGCAGGTCATCAGTTTAAGAAATATTAATGAAAATTTTAATTTAATATGAAATCTGGCATGTGTATCACATTTACAGCACTTCTCAATTCCGACTTGCCACATTTCAAGAGCTCAAGAGCCACATGTGGTTGGTGGCTACTGTACTGACAGCACAGCTCTAGGACCAAGATCTCAAACCTCCACACCCATTGACACCACAGGTAGCCACGGGAGCTGGCAAGCAGGCCTATCATCCCCAAGATAAACAAGATGCGCACACACACACACACACACACACACACACCCATCGAGCCTGAGAGTAATGCTCTCTGCCCTCCAATTTCAGGCACTTGACCCTAAATTTCTACTATAAAATATATTAGGGTGGTATATGAAAGGGACTACATGTTTCTTTTGGGAGAAAGGCATCAGAGGAAGGAAGATATAAACACACTCTCCCTTTTCCATATGGCTGTTACCGCTCTAATGGAGCTCAATGTTACTACTTGTATTTCAGCTGTATATATATTTTTAAAGCAGGCAATGTGCTAAGAAGTTTCCACCTGTCAACTTCCTAGGATCATGAAGGCGTCACACCCAACTTTTCTTCTAAGCCAGTAAAGGACCAATTCCGGAAGCCAGTCTGTCCAACCTTGGCCTCCCTAACTTTCAGTAGCCCCGTCATTGAGCAAGGAACCCAGATTTAACCAAAAGATAACAAAACACCCTTCAGCTTAGACATAGAATCTGGTCAACTCAGACTTCTAATTCTACACAACAAAGATGGGAATAAGGAGCCCTCAATAGGCCCTGGTTGCTGGGCCAAGGCACTGGCCCTGCACTGGCTCCTCTAGGTGAGCTCTGGTTTCATCCCTTCCACGACTTCCTTAGCACTTGAACAGTAATTTCAGAGAGAACTTTAAATAAAATTACTTTATAGGTTTATACTAATACAATAGTTACCACTCTTTTGTTGCAACTATTTTGGCTCCATTTTGTTCTGATGAGTATCTATTACAAGGCAGTATTTCAAATCCACTATCAGTTGCAAACATTCTCAAGTAAATGAACACCTAAAAAAGAAAAAATTTGACATTAACATTATAGTAAATTGTTTGTCCTGCTAGACTTTCATAGAATTATAAAAGCAAACCACTAACAATATAAAAATGTTGCACTTTTAAAATACTTTGTTGATATTTTAACATTTCACATATTTGAGTACCTAATGGCTGGCCATGTTACTCTAAAAGCTCACCACAAATTTCACTTCTAGATGACAAAGTTTTCTCTTTGGATGGTCAAAGAGGATCCTATATGTTATTAGATCTTCATATGAATAGTTTCACAAAAAATTGATTTCAAGTTTTCACCAAAATTTAGGCTTTCGTTTCCTTTACTCTTATCCAAACATATAAACAGTATTCATTTTATTAATAAACCTACATGTTCCTTGAATAATTTCTCCTGCATTTTGTTCTTGTTGAGAAAATAGTGTCGCGCCCATTCGCCTGAAGTCAAACATTTGAAGGCTTTCTCCAAGTGCTCATCTTTCTTAAAACGTTCAATTACTTCCTTCAGCTCTTCTTGCCTTCCTTTAATAGGCCGAAATCTGAACAAAATCAAAACGATAACTGAATTATCTGCCATCACTCTTGGGCCACTGTTAAGAGATACTGAGAAAGAGACAGTAACCTAAAAACTGTGAGACAGAACAAACGAGAACAATCAATAATCTTTATAATTACTACTCAAGTAATATTAACCACCATGAAACATAACTTTTCTGTCTTCAAAATGCATTTTAATATTGTCATTTCACTGTTATCTCATTAACTGAGAAGTGACCAGATGACTCAAGTTAATGCTCTCTGATTCAGGCTTATTCCAGTCTGAGGTACAAAATGAAAGACCTACAATAGAGCTCATCTAATTGTGGGTTAGAATGACAATTTTTAAAAACATGCAGAATCAAGCCAGAAGAGTGCCAGGCAATGAGCTTCAGAAGAATGACAAAGCAAACAAAATCATGCCGCTAACAAAACATTCTTTACGTTCAGTTAGAAAAACCCCAAACCAAGTACCCCAGTGAGTCCTGAAATACACCTTGATGTTCCAACACCATGTCAATTAATCTTTGACAACTGCATTCAGAGAGCAAAAAGAGGGCAAAAGTACAACTGCTGTATGGTGATGTAAGGAAAAACAGTTGGCGTAGCATTATAAAAGGCTTCTATTATAAAATCAGCTGTAATGACTTCAGTATATTACATTTCTAGTCATAAAATAACACATGATTCAATCATAGTCCAAATAAAATTAAGTTTACAAGTCCCTCATTCTAAAGTTGTGTTCTCAATAAAACATGTACTACAATTAAAGGTACTTGGATCATAATTTTAAAATGTCACCCTGGCAGGTGTGGCTCTGTTGGTTGAATGTCATTCAGTACTCTGAAAGGTTGCTGGTTCAATTCCAGTTGGGGCACATGCCCAGGTTGTGGGTTCAACCCTCCCCCCCACCATTGGGGTGTGTGCAGGAGGCAACTGATCGGTATTTCTCACATCAATGTTTCTCTCTCCTCTCTCTCTCCTCTCTCTCCTCTCTCTCTCTCTCTCTCTCTCTCTCTCTCTCTCTAAAAATCAATATTTAAATGTTTTAAAAATGTCTTTTCATGTCAATTTCATTTGGCTTATTTTCCCAAATAAAATTAAAAAAAAAAAATCCAACCAAAAAAAGGAATTTCAGACTGCTATTCAAATAGAATACATTAAGAAAAAAAATATTAATGGCCAAGGAGTAAAAGCATTTGAACTCTGCACCTTAACTATAACAATTAAAACTGTGCACCTCATAAACCTGAAAATGCTAAAACTGAGACAAGATCTAGGAAAGGAAGCACTCACACAGGATTCTTTCTAGATGAGCCATCATAAATGTAGTCACAACATTTCAGTAAAATTTTAAGCCACAATATTTCACCAAGGCTTATTTATTAAGTGCTGTGTACACAGAGGTGTTATGGTGAAATACAGAAGTGACAGACAGGCCACTGCTCTTACATGGAAAATTTATCCAGGACTAAAGGACATACACATGCATCAACAGTTAAGCAAAGCGGCAATAGGCAAATGCAGGTTACTATGGCACAACTACACTATAGCACTTTCAAGTACGGAAATCATAACTAAAGTGAAGATATGTATGGGCAATGAGGAGAGTGTGAATTCAGCTTTCCAGAATAGGCAGGAAGGAATCAAAGGAGGGCAGGCAAAGTGGGAGGGAATTTAAGCAGAGCATCTTAAGGCTACATTCAAAGAGATGCACAGGGACTGAGGGAATCAGCTGGGTAACAACAGTAAAGGAAAGAACAGGAAGAGAGAAGGCATGAGGTGAGAACAGGCATAACACTACTGCTGACAGGACTTCCGATACATTAATGCATGCTGGTCCCTCCAGGAACTTACTTGCTTCAGACTCTAGCTTCGGTAAGCTCTCACAACTACTAAGCAGAACCATTTGAGAGAGTTCAAATATATCCCAGAGACGTCATATAAAGAAATGGACGTCAAATTTTATTTTCCCCGTTCTATTAGCATACCCACTCTGACAGATAGATGAGTGGAAGTCCTTTAAACAATTCAGAATGTGTTTAAGTAGGATTGTCAAAATAATCTAAAGATTTGCAGAATTGTGAAAGTCTGCAAACTTCCATCCAGTTATAATATTAAACGACTTGTAGACATCACAAGTGATTTTTGTCAAGATCAGGTTTCTTAAATCATTCTTGCTGCAAACCTACTCTAGGGGTGTTTGCACATGAAGGACAGATAAGGTAACCAAGCAGCTGTTAGCTAAGGCATGCCACTTCACACAATACAGAATATGAAATGTCCGGAAATGGATAACCCATGATTTATGCAGAGAACAGAAAAGCCAATACTAGTACTTCACTCTGAGCAAATACAATGTATAATCCATGACGTTAATGCTACAAATAACAGAGAAAGAACCCAGCAATATTGGTTATGTCCAACATGGAATTGACCAGTGGTGACACCCTACTTAAAATAACTGCATGGCTCAACACATTAGCAAGCAAATCAGAGTCAGGACTAAATTCACCTAAGGCTTTAAGGACACAACAGAAAAGTAAGTTGCAGCCCTGGAATGGACACTGGCTATTCCTATGGGCTTGCTAAGTGCACTCCACTTCCTGAAACCTGTAGCTTCCTACCTAAAAATGCCCTTCAGCTATCATAATTTTGTTTACTTTTTGTTCATGATGCCAATTTATATGCTAAAACCAACACAAAATAACCTATTCTTGATCTAGCTATATTCTGCTTTCCACGTTTCCTGTGCTGACTTTTGTTTCTGCTTTCCTGAATCAAACACAAGCAAAACTGTTACTTGCCAAAAGCAAGAACCTCCATTTCACTTAAAATATAATTTACCATCAAACTTTCTGTCACAGTTGGCTGACATAGGCGTGAAATGATAGTGAGGCAAAGGAAGAAAAGGGTTCTGGGTGCAGACAGGAAGGGGAAGAGACAGCTGTTTTCAATAATCCTACAAATAGACATTAAAATCACCAGGCTGACAGTTCCAAGTCAAATCCCAGTATAACGAATACTGAAGGAGAAATAAAAATTACTTAAAAGCCTAAGATTGTTACAACTATTAGGACCAGGCAATCAGCAATGAAGACCTTACAAAACATTAAAATAATTTTCTATTATTGAGTAAAAAGATACCCTTTGCCCTCTCCTTCATCACAATCGCTATAAATCTCACATACACATTGCACAAAGCTCTCCTTACACCATGGTTCTTAAAGCTAGAAGAAAATTTAGACTGTCTAAAACAGCCTTCTTATTCCAGAAGGGAGAAAATAAGGCCCATGAGGGCTAATTAAGGGAAGCCTTCCTCAGCCTGCTCTTATGTGGACACAGACGGCCCTCTCATGTTGTTTCACATACAATAGGATTTGACTTGTGTCTGCCATGGAACACCAGCCCAGAGCCCAGACAGCAACAGAGCTGGCTGGTATTCTAGCAATACAGTGAAAGGTACTATAATACTTTTAAATTTGGTATTTGGGGGTGAAGTGGGGTGACAGAGGAGGCAAGAGAAACAGGTATCTGGATTTCCAAATCAATATGCCCCTCCTCCCTCTCTAACACAAAATTTACTACTTTAAATAAACCAAACATTTCTTTTTCTCTTCCCACACCTCTGATGAATGGCTGCTATAAGAAAAAAAGTCATTTACAATCATTATTAATAAAAGGGGCAGAAAAAAACATGAATTCACACTCCCACACACCTGTTCCCCACTCTTTCCAGAGACTGACTTCCCAGGTTTTCTTGCTATTTGGTTTTTCTGTATCCAAACCCAAGAGAGCACTGTGGCAATGAAGAAAGGCTGTAGATTTGTGTTAGCTGTACTACTGTCCCTTCCACAGCATGTACAACCAAGAGCTGACTGGAGGAGGGGGAAGAAGAGGAGGACAGAAAAAAGGGGCGCAAGGGAAGGAGAGAGGAAAAGAGAGAAAATGCTCAAATATTGAAGATATAAAATAAGAAACCATGAGGCAACAGTGTGAACACATTTCCCCTTTGCAGAAAGTTTAACTGCAAACTGACAGCGCGCAGGTGCCGAGGAGGAGGCAGGCCAGAGCCACAGCTCTTCGTTCCTTCTTCACCTGAAAATAAATACCAACCAGAAACATACCTGGCTGAGTTTTGCACTCAGTGCTCAGCTAATCCCAGGGAGTGACTCCTGCTCTTTTGATGAAAGATTTCTCTTAAAATTACCCTGTTATGGAGTACAAGTGATTTTTTTTAAATACAACTATGACTAAGACCAAACTATTTTAAAAGGTTTGCAACATGTTCTAAAACTCATGTTTACGCTAACACCTCCATTATTTAACATCAAAGAACATCAGAAAGGCTGTGACAGGTGAGCAGGCATCTTATTATTGTTTGTAATGCACTCTACCTACCTCACAGGGTTGTTGTGAGGAAAACTGTCAGATTTTGAAAAATGCCTTGAGCTCCTCGAAGGAAAGGCGCTATATAAATGCAAAAACAAACAACAACAATAAAAAACTATTTGTACAACCTGTACTTGCAATCTCTAAGCAGATTCACAATATTAGCTGTTGCAAAAATCCTTAAGACACTGGTATTCCAGTCTCAGCATGATAAAAGCCAGATTCTAAAATTCTTTCTTCCCATAGAACATTGTTTTACATTATACCGAGTTAGAAGATCTAAGAATTTCTTTATGCTTTCTAGTCAAGCACTTAAGTTCAAAGTGACACTTAACGTGATTTATAAATTCATATCCAACAGTGGATATAAATAATCAAATACATAAAGTAAAATAAAATTAGATAATTACAGTAGTAGAAGGATGAGTAAGGACTATACAGACTGCAGTTTGGATCAGAAAAATTCCAAAGAAAAAGTGACTCGTGCATTTCTTTATAACAGTATTTCCTGCTCAGCTCACTTCCAAGTCGCCCACTCCTCAGGACACTGTCCGATCTCTGGGTCCTACAGTCTCCACAAGAGGCAGACTGGAAGCCTCTGCACCGGCTTTACTCTATCTGACTCCCACTCTGATCTTTGGAAAATCAGAGGTATTACTAACAGCTCTATTTTCCAGCTAAAAGGAAGAATTTAGTTTTCATAATTGAAGTCAACTAAATCTAAATATTTTCCAATAAATTGAAATTACTATTTTGTTTATACTATTTCTAGGAATTCATGCTGTAACTCTGACTTGCTTATTAGTAAATAAAGGGGTATATTAAGATGAAAGCATGATAGTTTGGGAAATTTTCAAATCATTAAACATCTACTGTTTCTGAACACAGTACATTGAAAGAAGTTGAAAGGAGGAAAAGGAACACAAAAGAGGAAATGAAAACTGACAATCAATTACAAATGTATAAACATGAAACTAAGAGACCATTCTGTAAGTAACAGGCAGCGAGTATTAAAATCCAAGCTCCAAACTTCTCTCTTCCAGTCACTTTGTTTGAACCCCAAAGAGAGAAAAGCCCACAAATTAGTAATTTAAAATATATTTATGGTTTATTCAAATAAAGCACTATAGATTTTCCTTATTTTCTATAAAATGATATCTTTGAACATGACGTGAGTCAACATTTGGTAAATCCTTGCTCAAAAGATGAGCCAGAGCAGAGAGTTTCATATTCAAGTAAGTCCACCAAGATTTAAAGCTTCATTAATAGATTTTCTGTGTATTCCTGTTAAAGTACCTTTGCATCAACTGCTCGAGCACAGGGGCTAAGTGTCCCCCCTGCTGCCAAACCAACCCGGTCTGCCCAGGGGGGAGTAGGACTGTCTACACCATCAATGGCTATTTTAGAAACTGTATGAGAAGAATTAAGTGTTGCACTGAAAATATATGTTTTCTTCTGCATGTTTAACTTGGTTTAACCAGTTTTTATTTTAGATCCTTCAATTTCTATTCATAAAAATTTTTACATACTGGATACTTTTTAAATTTAGGGGCACTTGGATAAGGTTTTGAGTTTTAATATTTGTGTGGCAATCTTGAACTTTACATTTTAGGACACAGTTTTTAAGTGAGTCCTAGGAAACTACTGGTAAGGAGCTTTTTATCCACTTACATCATAAGAAGGCACAGTAGGCCAGGTGCTTTAGGACCTGCTACTGCAGGAGTAGAAATGGAGGCTCTCAGGCCCCACCCCACAGCTATTACGTCAGCAGCTGCATCTTTTTTTTTTATTGTTAAAAGTTTTCCCCAATTGCCCCCCCCCCCCAGCCATTCCCACCCCAGGCAAGTCCCCACCACCCCAGTGTCTGTGTCCATTGGTTAAGCAGCTGCATCCTAACAAGATTCCCCAAGTAACTCTCATAAACTAATTACCAAGGAGGATTTTATACAAAACTAGAGGCCCAGTGCCTGAAATTCGTGCACTCAGGGGGCGAGGGTCCCTCAGCCTGGCCTGCGCCCTCTTGCAGTCCGGGAGCCCTTGAGGGATGTCTGAATGATGGCTTAGGGAGCTGGCCTAAGCTGGCAGTCAGACATCCTTAGTGCTGCCACGGAGGTAGGAGAGGCTCCCGCCACCTGCTGTGCTCACCAGCCATAAGTCCAGCTCAGAGCTTCTGGCTGAGCAGTGCTCCCTCTGTGGGAGCACACTGACCACCAAGGGGCAGTTCCCGCATTGAGGTCTGCCTCCTGGTGGTCAGTGCGCATCATAGCGACCGGTTGTTCTGCTGTTCAGTCAATTTGCATATTAGCCTTTTATTATATAGGATAGGATAGGGGTTATTTCCTATAGCAGAAGCCAGTAACAGGTAACCCTTCACCCTCTGGAACAGTCAAAGCATGGGGATTCTGAACACACAGATTTTTTTTCCTAAGTCACTAAAAATGTTTTATAATTTTGATGGAACGCTTTCTAAAATGGTTTATATGCTTCCATATTTCAGTATATAAGGCTTAATGAAGATAATCCCTTTCTTAATGACTCCAGGTCATAATTATGGGCCTTTGCAGTAAAATCTTGAATGTTACTAGACCAATGATGGCGAACCTATGACACGTGTGTCAGAGGTGACACAGGAACTCATTTTTTTGGTTGATTTGGTTGATTTTTCTTTGTTAAATGGCATTTAAATATACAAATAAATATCAAAAATATAAGTCTTTGTTATACTATGGTTGCAAATATCAAAAAATTTCTATATGTGACATGGCACCAGAGTTAAGTTAGGGTTTTTCAAAATGCTGACACGCCGAGCTCAAAAGGTTCGCCATCACTGTACTAGACTGTTATGAGAATCAGTGATTCACATTTCTTAACAAAAAAAAAAAGGCTAAAGGGTGGCTTAAATACTATCAGGATTCTCTGCAAGCAGGCCACGAGTGTGACATGCTTGCTCTAGAGCAGTGGTTCTCAACCTTCCTAATGCCGTGACCCTTTAATACAGTTCCTCATGTTGTGGTGACCCCCCAATTTCATTGTTACAAATTGAACATAACCAAAGGATAGTGATTAATCACAAGAACAATATGTAATTATATATGTATTTTCCGATGGTCTTAGGCGACCCCTGTGAAAGGGTCATTCGACCCCCAAAGGGGTCGCGACCCACAGGTTGACGACCCACAGGTTGAGAACCGCTGCTCTAGAGACTGGGCGCTGGTCTCCTATGTTCACTGGAAAAAAAAGAGAAATGGACTTAAAATAATGCAAACTAGATTTTACTTGGACACTATGGCATCTTGAGTCTGCTGATTTTCCAGAGGACAGCCATCTGTCTGCCTATTTAGAAAATTTAAATATTTGCCCTTTGAAGGCAGAAAAACTATTTAAAGAACCTCTCAAGTCCATCCCAGCTTTTCACTTCATTTTACTAAGTAAAGATATATGATGACAGCTCTAACCGGTTTGGCTCAGTGGATAGAGCGTAGGCCTGTGGACTGAAAGGTCCCAGGTTCGATTCCGGTCAAGGGCATGTACCTTGGTTGTGGGCACATCCCCAGTGGGAGGTGTACAGGAGGCAGCTGATCAATGTTTCTCTTTCATTGATGTTTCTAACTCTCTATCCCTCTCCCTTCCTCTCTGTAAAAAATCAATAAAATATATTTAAAAAAATAAATAAAAAGATATATGATGACAGAAAATTACATGAAAATACCAAAGGCACATTTTCACCAGAATTACTTCTTTCTGGGTTTAGAATGTAATTAATAAATGCATCATACAGTATTTTGTTTTCATTCTAGCGAGGGAGAGTTAAAAGGGAAAAAGATGAACACAGATTTTCCTCCAATCACCTCTACTCACCTATTCCTACTTCCCCCTAGCTAATTATCCATGACTATCCACCGGTGATCAAGTCCTTCCAGGGTTGGTCACTGACACTGGAGCTACTGAACACCAGTACAGGGTGACTGAGGTAAGAGTGAAGTGGCCCAGAACTTGCTCTACATTCTAAATCCCTATGCTTTTCCATCAGACTTGAAAACCCTTTGCCATGGAAGTTAAAGAGAGAGAGAAAACTTCTAAAGCTCTGACTCAGTGTATGGCGGAAGTCAATTACAAAATTATCTAAGAGCCTTTTTGTGGGAGAAAAGGTATTTAAGAGAAGTAAAACATAGAAATTTAAAGGATGACAGATTTCAAGAGTGATGCAGTAATATTTTATGTAGATGACATTTAATACTCAATAAAGCACTTGCACATCTATTATCTGCACACTGAATGTAAGCACGTCTTTAAAAATATTCATGCTTACTAAGTTGAATCTTACTTAGCTGAATGCTTTGGTGCATCTCAAAGATCAAACACAGTGGCAATTATTTAAAAAAGAAAAGTCTGTAATAAAACTATGAAGAAAAAAAAGGCCGTAACCTACTTTTAGTGGAAAATATACATTTTTAAGGTTGTACAGGATGCCTGTCAGATTTCTTTTCACTAATTAGCATCAACATTTAAAACAGAATAAAGATGCTCCCCCAGCTTTGTATTTTAGTAATATCCTGAGATAAAATAAGAACACAGAATTAAAACTGACAAGATTCTCAGAAGCTTTTGTTGCTTTTCATGGATCACATATAGAAAATCTTTCTGTAACAAAGTACTTTCCTTTAATGTCGTTTAAATTTTTGACTGAAAGTAAAAATCTATTTTCTTTCTTTCCATCTATTTTCGTAAATTCAACATCATCTGTGTCATTCAGGATAAAGACTTAAAATTACCTAGTATTCATTTTGTGTGTCTGAAAACCTAAATAGGGATCAAGAACCAAACTGGTTGCTAGGTCATCATTTTCACAGAGTTCCTTGGCGGACATTCCAGAAGATGGTACATATCGACTCTGTCCTTCGAATCCTGAGTTACCATTACCTGCAAAAAGAAAAAGAAAAGTAACTCAAATTGAAAATGACTAAAGTCTACCTTAAAAACCTTTGCCCATTCAAGCTAGTAATCAAGAACTAAAATTATTTCAATCAATTTTAATAATGGAGATTGGAGTACTATTTGCATAAACGTAAAGGCAAATGCAATAAACTAAAACCCAATTATTGAAAGTATTTCGGTTACATTAACACCAGGATTCCCAAGAAAAGCGTCTGTGAGCATCTTGGGCTCAGATGCCTTGCCCCTCCAAGGAAGAGCTGAGAAACGGGAAGGTGGAGGTTCACTGAGGCAGCAAGAGAGCATCATAAAAGGCCACTACAGACAGGGCTGGGGTGAGGAAACAGGATGAGCGAACACAAGACACTCTGCAGTAAGTGCCAGAAGGGGAGAGCTTGATTTTAAGTACCCAAAGGAGTCCCGTGTAGCTACCTCCAGCTTCCTGCTTTAGATGGATGAGTGATTATTTCCACTTGGCTGGGAACAGGCCCAGAGGTTAAGCAATTTACTTGCCTAAGATTACAAAGCTAGGTAGTAGAGGTGGGGAAAAGAGAAAAGAGAGAATGATAGGCCTATTTCTAACTAGCCTGTCTGAAAAAATGTTGACTGAAAAATAGGGAAGATGAAAGAAATATATATGTGATGGAAATCATTGGGTTTAATTGTAGAAGAAAAACACTTTAAAGAGAGGAAAGGAAGGCCAAATTTGTATATATCAGTTTCATCAGTGCTCATTTCAGTATGTCATTGATAGTCTTATCAGCAGTCAGTGAAGATACCAGCTGTATGACGTTAAGCCTCTCAAAATTAAGATGTGGAAGAACGAGAGAAACACACAGTGAGAGGTATAACTTCTTTTCATCCACTCTTAAAAAAAATTAAACACTTATATGAAAATCCCTGCCAAAGGATAGGTATATGATTTGCATGTGGGTATGTGAAAAGCTATCAGATCATTTTATTTTCTGTAACAGCTTTATTGATCTATAATACACATACCATATAATTCACCTACTGAAAGTGTACAATTTAATAGTTATTTTTTAATATATTCACATAATTGTATAACTACCACCACAATCAATTTTGGAACATTTCATCACTCCCCAAAATAACCCCCATACCCATTAGCAGTTACTACCTACTTCTCCCTCCCAGCCCCATCAACCACTAATCTAGTTTCTGTTTCTATGGATTTGCATACTTTGAAAATTTCATATAGCTAGAATCATACAATATGTGGTCTCTGCGACTGGCTTTTTTCAATTAGCACAATGTTTTCAAGGTTCATCCATGTTGTACCATGCATCAGTACTTCATTCCTTTTTATACCTAAATAATATTCCATTGTATCGATATAGCACATTTTGTTTATTCATTAGTTGATGGACATTTGGGCTGTTTCCACTTTTGGCTATTATGAGTAATGTCTCTATGAACAATCATATGAAAGTTTTGTGTGTACATATGTTATCCCAATTCTCTTAGGTACATCCCTAAGAATGGAATTGCTTAGGTCATATGGTAACTCCATGTTTAACCTTTAGAGGAACTGCCAGACTGTTTTTCAAAGTGGATGCACCATTTTACATTTCCAACAGTACTGTATGAGGGTACTAAGTTCTCCACATCATCACCAACACTTGTTATTATCTATCCTTTTGATTCTAGTTTTTCTGGTAGTTGTATCTTATGGTTTTAATTTGCATTTTCCTGATGACTAAGAGTACTTTTTTTTAAGATTTAGTTTTTCTGGGTCCCTTAAATTTCCATAAGAATTTTAGTATCAGCTTGTCAATTTCTGCAAAGAAGCCAGTTGAGATTTTGATAGGAAATGCATTCAATCCGTAAAGTTTTGGGGGCTAAATCCCTAGAGTGGGGCATACAGGAGGCGGCTGACCAATGATTCTCTCTCATCATTGATGTTTCTCTCTCTCTGCCCCCCTCTCTCCCTTACTCTCTGAAATCAATAAAAATATATTTTTTAAAAAATTTAAGAGATACCTAATTTACTGAGCAGAGTCAACACCACTGCTATAGTCACTACATTTCTCAATCCCTTCAGGTTCCCATCACATGCTAAGGGGTAAGGAGGTGTCCATGCAGAAGAGAATCCATTACAAAAACAGTGACCTGGTCTGACATGGAAAGGTTAAGGGCAGTCTGGGCCCAATGAATAGCATAAACCCCTAAAAGGTAAAAAATGAAATGAATCAGAACTAGAGCAATCTAACTGAAACTGCAGAACACTCAGGCTAATTCAACCTATGGGGAGTAGGCAAAGTCCAACACAAACTAAGGCTGTTGAGCAGTGGCTAAATTAACCTTAGGAAAAGTAAGAAATAGAAAAAGCTGTGCTCCTTAACATGGTTATACACTTTTGGACAACCTTTGTATAGTTGTCTACTTAGGTTTATGTTTATCCTGGGTTGATTTACTACTTGTAGAAGAACCATGAAACTCTACCATTTCTCACAACTCTCAACAAGTCATTCCATTCTTACCAAGAGGTATAGAGGTAAAAAAGTAACTTAATATCAATAGTGCTCCAGATAAAGGATTGTTCACCCTATACAAATGTAAGAAATGGTGACCATTTGTGAAGTTGCCCTAAACTCTACTTATCACGCAAATCAGAGTTAACTTTATTCATATTACGCTAAGTTTTCAAAGACATACATATTTATACTTACATCAAATATAAAAAATACAGCTTGAACTTTTAAGAAATTCAGGTCAGTAGCAGTATTTTAGTATTTTTTTATAGAACAGATTAGCCATTTAGGTATAAATTCTACAAAACATAATTTAAAACCATGGATATAAAAGGATGATTGAAGTTATTATATTAAGCATTAAACTGAAGTTGTGCACATTTGATGAGAATAAAAACAGATACAACTTTGAAAGAGTAAAATACTATATTGTTAACTATGTGAGAACATAAAGAATTGTTTTGAAAACAACAGAGCACAGAATACATTACAAACTGGAAAGAATTACTGCCCCATATCACAATCAAAAGAGCGACAGTTTGAGTGTGTACATACATCTGCTCGACCTCCTCTCCACTGCGTTTTTGCCAGCCTTCACGGTGTCCTTTCCCGTGTGCTGTAATTTTGATTGATTCTGCTGATGGTCATTAGACAACTTGCCTCCATTTCTCCTGCCATTCACCACCATGTTCTTGGATTCTCCCAACCACTTCATACCCACAGACAGCCTGACCCAGGTGCATTTAGTCACTCTCTTCAAATAGCTTAGAGAATAATTTCAATGTTCTCTCCTAACAGAAACAAAATATGAAAAACAAAACAAAATGGGGAGGTAAATACATAAAAACCATGCTACACAGACTTGTGAGAAAGATACAGAGTATTAAAAGTACTACAGTAATTAATGTTTCCACTCTTTAGACTTCCTGGGCTCCAGCCGGTCCTATCATGCTGAGGTCTTCAATGCCCCCAGGCTCTGAGGAAGGACTTATTGGGTCTTGCTCATAGCTTGTGCTTTGAATAGCAACTGGTAAATAGCAAGTGCTCAATAAATGTTTATCCTTCCATTACCATTAAGAATCATCTTTGCTCTTTATTATGCTGTCTAGGTATAGGTCAATAATCAGCTCAAATCACACATTTTGGTAACATTCTATGAACTCTGTGAGTAAACTACAAAGATATATTTATTATCTCTTGTCTGCAACAGTTTTGTTACATCTTTTTGTCGTTAAAATCAACATTCAAAATATTTAGGGGTATTTTATCAAAGTATTGCCCATCATAAAATGTCTTCCTCAGCGTTCCTTTACAAAGGCAACAAAAACTTGAGGTTATATTTGCTCATATAGAGGTATCTCTCACTATATGAATGCTAGCTAGCTGAATTTGGGAACTGAATAATTTGGACAGTGAGGGATACCTGTAATTTTAAGGACCTTTGGAAGTGAGGGTATAATAGATTGTTTGTTCGTAATGGAATGAGAAAAAGGATGTCCATGACATCACCTCATCATGGAAATATGCTTTTAGTGTAAGTCAAACTAAAAGGCTCTAGGATAAGAAAGTGCAAAACATAAACAGGATGACACTCCAACCAACTGAACCACCCCACGAGAGCTAGAAAGAATTAAGAGATGAAATAGCAAGTCATCTCTCCACAGAGAATCCGTAAGTCCCATCCCATCAGATTTCCCACTCAGAGACAAAAAGCCGAAACCTGAAATGAGCCCCAGCAATTTGTTTTAATATGCCCCCCAGGTGATTAGGATCCAAGCTCCAGTGTGAAAACTGTTCTAAGTTCCTTATCCATTCAATTGATCAGTAGTTAAGGCAAAGGACAGATGCCAACATTTTAAGGAAAATTGTGGAATAAAACATTTAATTGGAGGAAATTGTACCTATCAACCTAATCCCCCCCGCCCCCCAAAATTAGGAAAAGTTCACCAATAAATCATTCTAGTAGCACACATCAGCCCAGTTCATGGAACGCAGACTGAGATCCACTCTAACTTATACATAATTTCAGCCAAATGTGGGTTAATGATCCAAACTGGAACAAATTCATAACGTCAAGTATGAGAGTGCCCGTGTCTGGATACATTCTAGCAGAGTCTCCAATACTCTTCACTCGCCCAGAAAACGACAGATCATTAAGGTAAAAGACTAATGAACACCTGGTGAAAGCAGTTCTAGTAAAGCTATCAGAAATCTGGGGGCTATTTATAATGTTTTAGCTCAAGATGAGTATAAACAATAAAAACTCTTTATATACAATAAAAATAATTCTCAGGTCATCGTTTGTTCTGCCCCATGAGTGTGGAATTTGTTCTTGTTGGCATGTTCTTCCCTGTAAGATTACAGTGGGAGGAAAGAACACTTATGTATCAGAGGTGGAGATGGAATTTCAAAAGCTAACAGTCAATATGGTGGTAGACTGTGGAGAAACAGGCTGCAGAAATCAGATGGCAAGCAAAACCTAGAGGCTTCGTGGCTACATGGAGGTCCCCCTCCTAACATAAGCAAGGGTGCGACTCTCTGGCCTAGAACACAGCTGGCTCACATGGAAAGGCCACCATGGTCTTTGGCTTGGTTGACAGTACCTAGCTAACTGGCCACTGACTATATTTAGAAGTTAAAATTACCTCAAATTTATCCCAAAATTGGCAGAAAAAAAGATTTCCAGAAATGAGTACTGACCACTTCTTAAATGGCTAACAGCTACAAATCTTTGTTCTGATCTCAAAATATAAAAATGCCAGGAAAATTACTAGACACCCATGATATTCCAGACACTGATCCAGGCACTGAGGGTACAGCAAAGAACAAACAAGGTTTCAGCCCTCATTTGTGCTTATATTCTAAAGAAGAAAGCCCCGGGAAATAAATTCACAAATAAATGCCAGTACTGGGAGACAACAAAGCGGTTTCTAAGCAGCAGGAAGTGTTTTGGGTGGCGCAGGGGCCTGATGGGACAGCTGGGCAGCAGCGGGGAGAGTGAGAGGCTAAGGGCACGGATGAAGCTGAGGAAGTGCATCTGAGGACCAGCACGGAGCCAGGGTGGCGGGGCAGGGAAAGGGGCAGGAGGAAGGTCAGAGAGGCTGCCAGAAGAAACCTCATGCAGCCAAGGGTTCAAAGCCTGCTGAGACTTGGACACTGACTCTCAGTGAGGCGCAAAGCAGAGCAGCGACATGATTCAACTTACAGTCGTAAAGGCCCCTGCTAGCTACTTGCTATGTGGAGAGCTCACAATGAATGCTTTTAAAAAAGAAGTTCTAATGAAGCTATTAATAATTTGTGGGGCAAGAGAGAAAACACCAGTTAAGAGACTACTGCACTAAAGCAGAGGAGAGAGAGAGATCCTGGTGGCTTGCAGCAGCAGAGGTGGTGACAGGTGGTTAGTTTCAGGATCTTTCCTGAAGGTCTTGCTGGTAGATGGGATTTGCTAACAGCCTGTGTGGAAGAAAAAGGACTCAAATGTGCCTCCGTGTGGAAGAATGGAGTTAATATTTATGAAGGTGACAAAGGTGACAGGGAAATCAGGTTTGGGCAGGGGTCAGAGTGCAGGAGTTTGCTTTTGGTAACATCTGAGATACCCATTAGGGACCAAGTGGAGATGATGAGAGGCAGTTGGACACCAGGGCCTGGCGTGCAGGTTGGATAATTAAACCTGGTGTCAGTACAGTACTAATACTATTTCAAGTCAGAGGGTGGAATGAAATCATCTGGGAAGTAAGTCTAGATCAGTGGTTCTCAACCTTCCTAATGCTGCGACCCTTTAATACAGTTCCTCATGTTGTGGTGACCCCCAGCCATAAAATTATTTTCGTTGCTACTTTATAACTGCAATTTTGCTACTGTTATGAATTGTAATGTAAATATCTGATATGCAGGATGTATTTTCATTGTTACAGATTGAACATAATTAAAGCATAGTGATTAATCACAAAAACAATATGTAATTATATATGTGTTTTCCGATGGTCTTAGGCGACCCCTGTGAAAGGGTCGTTCGACCCCCAAAGGGGTCGCGACCCACAGGTTGGCGACCCACAGGTTGAGAACCGCTGGTCTAGATAAAAGAAGCCTAAGGACTGAGGGGGCACCCTAGCATTTAAAGATCAACATGAGAAAACAGCAGCAGCACAGGACAGTGACAGGAGCAACTAGTGAGAAGGGAGGAGAAGCCAGAGCAAAGCAGGGATCAGCACTTCAGGAGGGAGCAGCCATGCTGGGCACAGGCCGCCAGACTCCGAAGGCAAATCCCTCCTTTATGAGAGTTGAAACTCACAGACAGGATGGTCTACTCACCATCTGTGAACCTCTTTCAGAAATAGCAGAGAACTTCTAAAATAGACATCATGTCTCAAAACATAGGCTCTTGGGAACAGAATTGGATAGCAGAGGGGAAATAAGGAATAAGGAATAAAAAGAGCCCTAAAATCTTGTGTCATCTGTTTCAAATAAGAGAAAAAGAGTAGAAATTTCACATTCAGAAAAGATATATGTAAATTAAATTCAGAGGGTAGGAGAAGAAGGGGATAGGTTAATTTGATAACAGTATGCCCTGAGAGAGTTTATAAGGATCTTTTATATAAAAAACACTGAGCCCAGCCAGTGTGGCTCAGTTGGTTGCGCATGCCCCAAGCACCAGGAGGAGGTCACTAGTTCAGTTCACGGTCAGGGTACATGCCCAGGTTGCGGACTCAATCCCCAGGAGGGGGCGTGCAGGAAGTAACCTATCCATGTGTCTGTCTCTCTCTCTCCCTTTCCTACTTTAAAATCAATAAACAAAACCGTTTTTAACCGAATAGATGTAGATGAGTACATCGCCAATTCTCTGGACTGGCATAATAAAATTTCTCTGGTAATGGGGTGGAATCCCCGAGAGTACAGTGCAAGTTTTGCTCCCTCTACTTTTATGAGTTCACAAGAAGGATCAGGCTCTCTTACGGAAATCAGTGTGACTGATTTCCCGGCATGGGAAGCTCACCTGACACTAAGCCAACAGGAAAGGAAGATTCACCTGACAAATTTCACTGACCAACATGTGGGGAAGGAAGCACATGCTCCAGATTCTAGTACCAACCATAAACAAAAGGGCAGACTACCTACGGCAATACAAAACATACTGGAAAAGTGCTAAAATGAGAGTTGCATTTAAAGAGGAAACTAGTTAAAAGAATTATGTAGAGTTGTATTTAAAGAGAAAACGTCTGATCATATAAATACCACTGCAGGAAAAACCGCGTGCACACCATATCACCCCTATCCCAAATCAACAACATAATGGATATCTTTGAGGGAATGGATTAACATTAAAAATCACACCCACCCCCAAAATGTTTATAGTAAACCTATTTATGAATAATTGGGGAAAATTACTGATATTTGAAAGAGTTTCAAAAGAAAGCACAGAATTGTTTCATAAAAAATGTGTCTGGTTCATGTGACGTGCCCACTCTATTCCCAGCAGTGATGGGCCAACATATTCCAACACCGTTATCACTCCTACTGTCCCTTATGACACAGAGGGTTAGAAATGTTTAGTGCAGGGGTCCTCAAACTATGGCCCGCGGGCCACATGCAAATACAAATATTGTATTTGTTCCCGTTTTTTTTGCTTCAAAATAAGATATGTGCAGCGTGCATAGGAATTTGTTCATAGTTTTTTTTAAACTATAGTCCAGCCCTCCAATGGTCTGAGGGGCAGTGAACTGGCCCCCTGTTTAAAAAGTCTGAGGACCCCTGGGTTAGTGACTTCCGAGTTAACTGTTCATGCCCAATTCAT